TTATATTTTGTTAACAGCATTAATTCTTATTAATATCATACACTATGCTTTTATTGAATATTTTATATCATTGTTTTTGATGAAAACTATAATTAGTATTATATTTTAAAATTAAAAAAATGTTTTTCTAAATATATAGACATTTAATATATTATATATAGACATATAATATATACATTTGTCTTTTATATTTTATAAAAAAATATCATTCTTACAAAAAATTTACGAAAATTATTTGCAAACAATTATTATTTTATATTATAAAAAATGAAATATTTTACCATAAAAAATATACATACAAATTCAGATATAGAATAATATTCGAATATTAATGACTGTATAGAAATAAAATAATATAATAAAAAAATAATAATAAAAAATTCAATCAGAATAAAAAATTCAATCAACATTTTTATTTTTTGTTAAATATTTTTCAATAATGATGAAAAATAAATTAAAAATCTAATTTAAATTATTAAATAAAATATTAAACAAGATATAAAAGATAAGAATTGGTTAAAAAAATATTTATTTTTAAAACTATTATATTTTGATTTTTCTCATATATTTATCATTTAATAATATATAGTTTTCACAATATTTTGATAAAAAATGAGATTGTAATTAAATGTAATTTGCAATCAATTTTTGCATTAAAATTTATGTATATATAACAATTAGGATAGTTGATATAATAAGTGAAAAGTTATTTTCTTATTTAAATGAATTTTTGGCACAATTTAGTTATTAAAACAACAAATAAGAGAATGTATAATAACTCGAGTTATAAATACACTTAAAATATATAACAGATAATATTACCACATTTAATTCATATTCATAAATTAGGACATTCCATGCATTCTTTAGATAAAAAAAAAGCAAAATAAAATATAAAATAACTTTTAAATGATCAAAATTGCAATAATTAAAGTTATAACGAAATATGAGGCTGTTATTACTATCATTCTTCTATCTACTTAATTTTAATCATTGTAATTTCAATCGTTCAAGAATTGTTTTATATTTTACTTTCAATAAGTTATATGGATAAGTGCCATTAGTTCACTCATATATTTCTGAATTTTCTAATATATAACATAGAAATTAATAAGGTTTTTTTTTTATATGTTGCATATACATATATTTACTATTAGAATTTTGAATTATTTTTATCATTGTATTATAATAAAAAATTTTAATATAAAATAAAATTTTAAAATCAAATATTCAAATAATTAATCAATAGGAAATTTCCAGAAATTCTATAAAATTCTAACTCTAACTAATTATAACATTTCTTATATTAATAAAAAAGTTTAAGCATTATCAAATATTGAGTATAAATATGATTAATGTAACTTGAATATATAACTATATATTATATACATAATATATAATATATATAACTATTTAGATAGTAATAATAACAAATAGTAATAATAACAACAATTTTCACTACGGTTAATAATTAATAACTTTTGATTTATTAACTATTAATTTTAATTTTTAATACAATATATTTAAGTTTATATAGTATATTTCAAAAATGTGAAAACATCCATTAACTGAAGATTGGGATAATTTTAAACAACATTTTACTTTGTAAAAACTCTCGTTATAATTTTATTAATTAAAAATTATTAAAAATCTAGTCAAACAGTGACTATATTAAAGAAAATGAGTGAGTATATTAAATATTTGTTTATTGATAAAAAATTATATTGAATTATATTAGGAATAATGAATAAACTATAATATGCAATATACTTTCTTTGATATATGTTGCTTGGACTTGTTTATGTTCGCTCGTAACGTAGCCAACACTACCATTGTGGCTCGATTAGACTGGATTCTGTGCGTTTTATGATTGGCTTTTTGTTAATAATTAACTAACAAAGCCATAATGAAAGTTTTTGCAAAATGTTGAAATTATTTCAGGAATCTCTATTTACGTAGATGTTCTAACATTTTTGAGATATATATCTAATTAATGTTTATATCAACGTAATTAATATAATCTTTGGCAATAGCCGAATATTATCATCGAATATCGAATAACTAATAATAGTAAAAATATAATAAAATTTCTAGATGTAATGTACAGATATAATATCTATATGATAATATAAAATTGATTGTTTATTATATTATCAATCATTCAAATCTTTAATAATTTTTAATAATCTTATAAATCTTTAATAATTTCATAAATTATATTATATAATGATATAATTATGCAAATTTTTAATAAAATCGAAAAACTCGAATTACTATAAGAAATTCCTTCAAACATTTATAGATATTCTAAAAATTAACAAATCTAGAACGGATGATAGCTCTGTCAATCATCCTAAAATTTCTAAGAGTAAATATCACTCAAATCATTCTATATTTAAATGAATTACATTACATTTAGTATTAATTACATCTCATTCTATTTGCATACATAGCTCAGCAAATCAAAGAAGAAAATCTATGAATCCTTTAGAATTTCTCTGGTATAAATTCAATATTATTCTATTATCATTTCCAAATTATAATTGTCTCTAGATTTTTTTAAATTCTTTAGATTACATAACTTAATATTTCGATATATTTTAAAAAAAGTTTAATTATGGTTTAAATATACAGAGAAAAAAACATATAATTGTAAATATAATAAAAATGTAAAATTAAAAATATTAAATGTAAAATTGTATATCGGAAATATTTTTTAAATACAAAACTTTCGAAAAGTATATTTTTTCTGAAATTTGATTGATCTGAAATTTGATTGATCTGAAATTTGAAGAGAATGAGAAGAGGAAGAATGAATTCTATATAATCGTAACTTATAATTTTAACTTCATGTGTATATTAGTTTCTGAAATATTATTAAAAAACTTTAAATATAATAGAATAAAATTTTCAATAGTACACAAACGTAATTAAATATTAAATGCTGTTTATACAAACATTACTAATACTACCATTTTCACTTAATGAATTATCATCATATATTAAATATCGAATAGTTTATAATAACGATATCAATTTCAATTTGCCACATAAAATTTGTTATTCCAAAATTTTTATAGCATATAAATATACAAAACTAATTTTGGTCATTACAATTTCGATCATTTTATATTTTATTATATTTCGATTGTTTTATATTTTATTTTTCTTTAAAATGCTCAAGTTCGCTTATTATACTATGCAATAGAAACTTGCAGAATTCTAATGTGTCTAAAGTTTAAGTGTTTTAGAAAATATTCTAAGCTATATTAGAAAATATTCTAAATTATACTAGAAAATATATAATCAATATTTTATATAAATGAAATATGAATATCGCGATTGATCATATTTTATATATAAATATTTGCCAATATTTTACATAAGATACCTTATAGATGCTAATATCATTATTTCATCATCGATTATATTGATATTCGATTGTTACTCGAAGATTAATTATTAATTACAATTATTAATATAAATAAAATTAAATATATTGTATCAAAAATTTTTTATTAATATTTTGAAAACTAATAAATATAAAATAAAAGATAAAATTTTAGATTTAAAGTTTAGGTTTAAAGTTTCTTTTTTCCTCTCTCCTTTTTTCCTCTTTTTCTTAATTTTCATGATAGAAATACTATATACTTTTCGGAAGAATACTTATTGTTTTTACTAACAAGTTATTAGAAAAAAAAAACAGTTCGATAATTATAATATATAGAAAGTTATATTATCAATCAAATTATATTTTTATAGAAATAGTCAAAAATGTGAATAAAAAAAATATTAATTAAAAAATTTTCGAACTGTAGCAGAGTTTTTAGTAGAATTTTTTCTTTAATAATGATTGGAAATTATATTATATTTTATTTTATACTTTCTATTTCATTTTTTAGACTTATATAAATAATTATTTATTACAATTTTAATAAAATAAGATTATTTTTAGACATGATATATCATAAATTTATTACATTCTTAAATAAAAACAAAAACATGTTTTAACGATATACGAATAAAAATAATACTCAACTATCTTTTTCTTTTATATATTAGAATATATATATAGATTTCAATAATATAATTATATATATATATATATATAATAAACATACATTTTTGCAAATATAATAAAATATAAATTATCTAGAATATCATTTATTTCTTCCACTATTATTAATGAAAAATAATGTTCTCTTGTTTAATTTTATTTTTTTTTATCGAATTTATTCATATTTTCGTGATTATAAAAGTATATAGTGTAGGTATGTATCACGCAAGGTTTCGATATCAACTTAAAATTTAAATTTTATGTAATTAAGCATAATATTTCCTTATTTTATATCAGTTATACATAATAAGTACGTGCAATTTCATAAAAAATTACTTGCGATTACGTAACATAATATTGTAAAACTATACTACTTATAAATATTTTTAAGATTACTACTTATAAATATTTTTAATTAAAGCTAATGTTATATATTTAATAATTAATTCTTCACGAGAGAAATTTTAATTTGTACTTTTCGTTATTTAATTAAATTATTATCTTTAAATTCAAATATTAAATTGATGAACTAATATAATTTTTTATACAAAAATTTTGATACTTACATTTATTGTACGATATTTTTATTGAAAAAAATATTGTTAAAAATGTTATAGAATTTAAAGTTCACTGAAATTTTATATGTGATTTCATTATAATATTGCCAGCAACATTACTATTTCATAGTTGATAACTATTTGTTTCTCTTCGATATACGTATTTCAAATGTTTTGTAAACAGATACACGCAATCACGTATAATCAAATATATTCATTCAGCTAAACTATATTTTTATTTATTGTTTTCCACTGCCCAGTCAACAGGTTACGAGCCCAGATTACGAAAGAAACAATAAATAATTAAGTAAAGTACAATTAAATTGAAAAAGCACGTGAGTTTGTTATCCGGCCTTGAGCAAATGTGAAATATAATCCTAATCGTGATGGAATATGAAACTATTTGTATTAATAAGCTGAAAGGATTGGAAAATTGAGCCTCATGGAAATTTCAAGTGCGCGTTACTTTGAAATCCTGCGGTGCATGGGAAATAGTTATAGATGAATCAATTCTTCCTGTAGGAGATGATGCGGCAAATCGAGTACGCGCTGCCTGGACAAAACTCGACAGTATAGCTCAACGCATAATTGCCACATTAGTAGATGGAAAACCACTTTTGCATATTATCAATTATGAATCGACTGAGGATATGTGGAAAAAGCTGGAATCTGTTTACAAACAAAAATCTGATACTAGTATACACATGCTGTTGCAGCAATGGTACAATTACCAGAAGGAACCGAGCGATGATGTCGCTACTCACATCATAAAAATCGAGAATCTTGCACATCGGCTACAAACTCTGAATGAGAAAATTCCAAATCAAATGATTATTACTAAAATACTCATAACATTACCTCCGTCATTCAAATATTTTATTAGTGCGTGGGAATCAACTCAATCCAATGAAAGAACTCTCACAAATCTTATTTCAAGGCTCACTATTGAGGAAACAAGGATAGGAACCGAAGAAAGGGCAGAAAACATTGCTTTTATTGCCAATAAGCATCAATACAAGAAAAATTTCAAAAAAAGGCAACGTTAAACCAGGTGTATGTCATTATTGCCACAAACCATTGGATCAAGGAATATAGAAACCGAAAAGCAGCAAACGAAAAATACAAAGGAAGGAAAGAAGAGACTCATTGGAGTCTGCAAAATATAATTTAGAAACATCCAATGATGCATGGATTCAGGTGCATTTGAGCACATGTCAAATCGTCGAATGGTTCTCGTCGTATAAAAAATTTGACACAGCAGAGAATATTAAGATAGGCGATGGAAATATATTCAAGCAATTGGATCAGGAAATATCGACATTCTTGCTTTTAATGGAAAAGAGTGGGTGCGAAAGTACCTCAGTAATGTTTTTCATGTACAGAACTAAGTTTCAATCTTTTTTCGGCGGGTGCAGCTCTTGACAAGAGATTACGACAATACTCCGATGATAAAATATGCACATTCATGAATGGAAATATTGTTGCAGTAGAATAGAAAGAAAAGATAAGTTATTTGAATATAATGAAATTTAAAGTCATTACAGACGAGCATCAGGCAAATGTAGCAGTGCGCAATTCTCTTTTCTTCTGACACAAACGAATGGTTCATCAGAATGTGGATCAGGTGAACAAAATTCTAAAATTCGAGAACATCATTTTTAAGGATCAGAAATTTGCTTGCGAAGATTGCATTTTAGGAAAAATGCACAGGCTACCATTCCCAAAAAGCGATACAAAATCTGAACGCATTGGAAAACTCATCCATGCAGACCTTTCAGGTCCAATGCAAGAAAATTCGCTTGGAGGAGCTCGATATTTCTTAATGTTGAATGGTGACTACAATCACTGGAGAAGTTTATTTTTTATCAAAAATAAATCAGAGACATCACAATGTCTAGAGGATTTCTTCAAGAAGATTGATAAGCAGATAACCTTTTTAGAAAAAGGAATCAAGATCTTCAGATCAGATAATGGTCTTGAGTTTGTCAATAAAGAAATTGAGGAATTAACACGTCGATATGGCATTACGCATCAGAAAACAATACCATTTACTCCGGAACAGAACATTTGCGCTGAACGAATAAACAGAACTGTAATTGATTTAGCGAGAACGTCGTTACATGCAGGAAAATTGCCAATCAAAATGTGGGCTGAAGCAGTTAATTACACTGTTTATACTTTAAATAGAACCGGAACTAGTGGGGAGAAAGGAGTAACACCTATTGAACTGTAGCTCAAGAAGAGATCGAACATTTCAAGTCTCAGAAACTTCGGAGAAGAAGTATACTTTCATATCCCTAAAGAGAAGAGACGAAAATGGGATGTCAAAACCGAAAAAGCATTTTCGTCGGATATGATGAAAACACAAAAGGATTCCGGATCTGGCTTCCTGAAAGAGGACAAGTTAAAATACATAGGGATGTAAAATTCACAGATCAGCTTTACGAAATTAATTCAAATGAAAAATAGGAATCAGAGTCAAATATAATCTTTGAACATCAGAAAGATGACATAATAAATGTCGAATCAAAAACTGTTATTCAGTCGGAAAATAACGAACAAGTAAATTTAGATGAAGAATCAAACGATCCAGAAGACAAAAATCAATACGAACAAGATCGACGTTTGAGAGACAGAAATAAAATACGCCGACCAGACAGACTCACGTATGGAAATATTGTGATCACAGAACACTATGAACCGAAAAATTACGATGACGCGATCACATGTAGCAATCAAATGAAAAGAAGCCATGGATGATGAAATTGATTCTTTGAGAAAAACTCAAACATAGACATTAGTAAATCCGCCATCAGACCATCAAGTCTGATAGATAATCGATGGACTTATAAACTGAAAAAAAATAGTGATGGAAACATACAACGATTCAAAGCAAAACTCGTTGCTAGAGGTTTTAAACAAAGTGTTGGAGTTGACTATCATGAAACATTTAGTCCTGTAGCTAGATTCGATTCAATAAGAACTATATTATCTATTACAGCTTCGAACAAAATGTATTTACAGCAATTTGACGTCAAGACAGCTTTTCTTCATGGAGAACTCGACGAGGTCTATCTATATGCAGCAACCAACCAATACGAGAATGGAACCAACCATGTTTGCAAGCTGAATCGTAGTTTATATAATCTAAAGCAGGCATCAAGATGTTGGAATCATCGTTTTACAGCAGTATTGAAGAAGCATGGTTTCACGTCCACCAGTGCAGACTATTGTGTATTTACAAATGGAAACGATCGAGACCGACTGATTTTAACGATTCATATCGATGATGAACTAATTAGTGCAACAAACCAATCATCTATAAAAAAGTTGTTAGCTGAACTCCGTAAAGAATTTGAAGTAACATCTAATGAGATAAATACATATTTAGGATTACAGATTGAGCGACTAGCAGATAGTTCCATATTTTTGCATCAGGAGGCTTACACCAAGAAAATTTTGCAACGATTTCGGGTGGAAAATGCTAATGCAGTAGCAATCCCAGAAGACCAAAACCATCAATTGTGCGTGGAGGCACATAAAAGTGGGTACAAGGAAAAATCTGAGTTCCCATATCGACAAGCGGTAGGAAGTTTAATGTATTTGTCAGTGGGCACTAGACCAGACATTACATTTGCAGTAAACAAAGTCAGTCAATATTTAGAAAAACCTAACAAAATTCACTGGAATGCAGTAAAAAGAATTTTCAAGTATCTAAAGGGAATAACAAAATATGGTGTTCATTATTCAACTCAACAGAATAATCATATTAAAGCATTCAGCGATGCAGATTACGCTGGAGATACTAAAACGAGGAAATCCACTATTGGTTTTTTATTAATATTAGGCGATTCCGCAATAGCTTGGGAATCAACACGACAGCGAAAGCTCTATCCACTACTGAAGCCGAATACATAGCAGCTGGTCAAACTGTAAAAGAGATCATATGGATGAAAATTGATTAATGATCTAGTTATGTTCAAGAACCTTATAACGACCTTTACGTGGATAATTTGAGCGCAATCAAGCTTATTAAAAACCCTGAATTTCATCGAAGAAGTAAGCACATTGACGTGCGTTATCACTTTAAACGAGACAAATTTAACGAGAAGGAGTTTCTTCTGCAACATATAGCATCGGAATATCAGCAGACAGAACTATTAACAAAACCTCTAAGAAGAACAATATTTGAAATACAAAGAAATCGATTGAATATCAAGAGTATCGAAGACATGATAGACACATAGAACTGTAACACTTAAACATAATAAGCATGCACACACTAAACAAATTTCAATTCACTTTTAGTGGGAGTGTTATAAAATTTAAAGTTCACTGAAATTTTATATGTGATTTCATTATTGAATGTTGCCAGCAACATTACTATTTCATAGTTGGTAGCTATTTGTTTCTCTTTGATACATGTATTTCAAATGTTTTGTAAACAGATACGCGCAATCACATATAATCACATATAATCAAATATATTCATTCAGCTAAATCCGTATATTTTTATTTATTGTTTTCCACTGTCCAGTCAACAAAAAATATTACTCAATCCAATATATTTTATATATTGAAAAACAAGATTAAAATTATTATAAATATTAAAATTAATTGATTTGATTAATTTAATTGATTATTATTAACATTTTTTTCGTTTATTTTTTATAATTATACTTAATAATTGTAATTTTTTATAATAAAAGAAAATTATTCTTTTTTAATGCAATCTTTCTGAGAAATCTATTAATATAACAATTCTTTACAATATATTGAACTTGTATAAAAAAAAATATTCAAATTTCATATTGAAATAAATAAAGTAAAAATATAATATACAATTTGAATTTCTTTTTTAAAGGTTATATTATATAAGAAAGTTATATTAAAAAGTTGATTTGTAATATATAAAAAGTTTTTATAAAATCATAAAAATTCATGATGGTATCTTACGTTATGTTCATTATAAACTTTATTTTTTTCAGAATTCGAATCAATTGTAATTTTTTTACAATTTTTTCTAATAAACTAATTCAATTTTAACAAAAATTATTTCGTTTTAAATATTTTTAATTGTATTATACATGAAATATTATATATATAACATAGTTGTTAAATTATAAAGCATTTGTATACAAAGTACTTAATTATATCTGCACGACGCATCGTGATTATCTTACAGGAATCTGTGAATTACTCCTATATTATTCGTGCATTGATCACTTATTTATATATTGCCTCATCTCATTAAAATGATATGTTGATTTAACCAACAATAAAAATAGTAATTAAAATTTTAAAAAATTCCGATGATCGATCGATATGAAAAGAAAAATGAAAAAGAAATATTAAATATAAAATTTAATTTTATTTAAAATTTTGGTTTTATGAAAAACTTTCAGTACTATATATTAAATTCTACTTGTACAGATTAATTTTGATATTATTAATATTATTTTAATATTTTTAATATTATTTTTAATATTATTTAATATAATTTTAATATTATTAATTTATTATTATTATTATTATTAATTATTATTAATTAACTATTTTCGCTATATAAAAATATCATTATCAAGTCTAATAGTTAATTTTTAAATAGTTCTAACAGTTAATCTTGATATTTATAGACTAATCCTTTATGTGAGACTGTTTTTAAATTCTAATCCAATATTCATTATAGGATTATAGGAATCTAAATATAAATTCAATACAAAACATATACCTATTTTCTTTGTTTATGATTAATTCTTTCTAAGATTCGAAGTGTGTCTAAAATAAAAGCACTTGTCACATTTGTATACCAAATGCTTTTACTTGCAAATTGATTTTTTTTCTATTTCCATATTTGACATCGTATTTGACATCTGATAAGAGAAATGTGTTTAAGAAAGATTTTTAATAAATTATAAATGGAATATCCTATAAATATAATTTGTTTTTCTCTTTCTTATCGTTCTAATCGACCGGTAACCAAGATCTTTTGAAAAGCCAAAATAGCTTTCTTTTTGATTTGAAAAAAAAGAAAATTTTCATATAA